CATGTGTGTGCGTGTATGTGTCTGCGGGTGTGTTTTGTTAAAATTTTCATTTTTTTCCACTATGTTTATGTATGTGTGTGTGTGCTTATTTTAGGGCATCTTTTTTTTTACATATATATATATATATATATACATCTTTTGTTTATATATATATATAAGGTTCCTAGATTACGTTTAAGACGGCGTTCGAGGAGAAATCAGTCAAGTCCGAAAATTTTTACAATTTAGTCCCTCATACTAATGTTCGCACAATACAAGGCGCAAGAAGCACTCAAGGTAGAGGCTTAATGTATGTTGTTGTTTGTGCGTAAAAAGGAGCATGAAAAAGGAGTTTTTCGATATTCCTGTGTGCCTGCATTTTTTTTTATCTTTTTGTGCGGGGAGGGGGTTCTGTTCTGTTTCTTTTCTTTTTTTTTTCTTTTTTTTTTTTGCTTCATTTTTCTTCAATTGGAGATCTTCTTCATCCATTGTGCATGCAATTTCCAATTTACCCACGGAATGAAAAAAATGAAAAATTTTATTGTGACTCCAAATTATTGACATTTACTTTTTATGTGCTTGAACGTTTATAGTAATAAAATATACATATACATATACATACATATATACACGCTTTTGTGATCATCAGACAAACAAGAATCTGACGGTCGCAAAAGAGTGAAACCCAGGGTCACAAACTCATATCCAGACAATTTATTATGTTAAATCTATCACTGATATTTAGCGCTTTTCAATAAGTAACGCGCATATAATATATATGCATGTGGGTGTGTGTGTATATGTTGTGTGTGCGTATGAGACGCGTGTGCGTGTGTGTATATGTTGTGTGTGCGTATGAGATGCGTGTGCGTGTGTGTAACATTAGATTGCCAACAGACTGTTTTCACTATTGATCTATGTACGCACAATCACACGTGCTATCTCGAAGTTGCCCAAATCACAATATCTGAGGTCGTGAATTATTCCGTAAAACTACATTTTCAATAATCTTTTTTTAGTCAACGTAGGTATTAGTATATACATATATATATATATATATATATGTGTGTGTGTGTGTGCGTGTGTGTGTCTGTGTGTACGTGTACGTGCGTGCGTGTGTGAATAAAGAGAAATGGAAAACTTAGCCGACGCGATTCGTCCTCTGACGGACTTTATAAAAGGCAAAATGTAAGGATTTTTTTTTTCTGGCATAAGTATTTATAAACAAAGCAAAAATGTTAGTTTTTTCCGGGGTGGGTTAAATTTAAAAATACTCATGGGTAAAAATTCTTATATTTGCCTTGAAAAAAGTCCATCAGCGGACGAAATGCGTCCTTAAAAGATAATTTTTTGTTTTTCATTTGTCTTTTTACAGATATACTTTTAGTTACATCTGACACACACACACACACACACACACATATATATATATATATATATATATATATATATATATATATATATATATATATATATATATATATATATACGTAAATCTATTTAAACTCGGTGGGTGAAAAAAAAAAAGCCAGGTAGGACAATTTTTCAAACAAATTGGCATCTGAGATAAAAAAAAAAATTGGAAAAAAAAAAAAGAACCAGAGACTTTTCGAACAGGACGAAAGAAATGGTCGAGTTCCTTAAATTTCTGGTACAAAGAAAAAAAAAAATCAGCGAGTAATAAGTTAAAAATGAAGAGTGCTCAATACGTTAAGTAGACAAAAAAGTAAAATAAATAAATCCTAATGAACCAGGTACTACCTACCTAGGCTTCAACACATGGGATCATCAGGGTATATATATATATATATATATATATATATATATATATATATATATATATATATATATATATATATATATATATACAAAATCAAATGAAATAATAATAAAAAAAACGAAAGAATATTAATCTACAACCCAGTGTGTCTGAAGATTTGATTTTTTAATATTTTTTTTATTGTTCAAAATATATATACATACAATGTCGGATAAAAATCCTTTAATTCATATATTAAAGGATTTTTATCCGATATTCTTTAAACGGCGTTTTTAGAGAGTACACGTGTGTAAGTTGGCATCGTATTTTTATCTTATTTTACTAAATAGTGAAAATATTCTTGAACTTGCTAACTAAATATTTTAGTTCTTTTTTGAGGACATTTTGTCGGTAAAAACGTCGCCTGTATACGACAGGAGTTTTTTTGTTTTTTGTTTTTTTTTTACGGGTACTTTTCATTAAGAAAACAATGGGCCGATCAACTAATATTATGAGCATTAACATTTTTTTTAATTATTTATTTATTTTCGTTTATTTATTTATTTTCGTTTATTTATTTATTTTCGCATATTTTATTTTACTGTTTGCATTTACCAAGACTTACACCAAAACCTCAAATAAATGAAGTTTTTCTTCTTAAGAAGTTGAAGAAAAATACTCCATAAAAATTGAAAATGTTTTCTCTTTTCTTTTTTTATTATTATTATTATTATTATTATTATTATTGTTATAAATCTGTTCTGGAGAAAGAAAGAATTTTTGGACATGGGGCTGTGTTGGTTGTAAAAAGGGAAAAAAAGGCGCTTTCTCGTGTTTAATAAGGAGAATGTTCTTAGATTACCGAAAAAAGTAATTTTACTTTTAGTACGCATACTCAGAAGGACGCACACATGCATGTACACGCACACACACACATTATATCCGACTCACGCACAGATATACATCCAGAGAGACACAAGTCTCACGCATGACTGTGCATATATCGTCTGTGAGTCGTTTTTAACGTGAGGCATACACACTTACACAAACCACGGGAAAGAGTGTTGGCGAATTTAAAGATGTCGCATGATATTATTATTGTGTGTGTGTGTGTGAGGCAATTAACCATCTATCTCAGCTTCAATTATTACCCATCTGTCTCAAGCCGTTCATTATCTATCTATCTATCTATCTATCGCAGTCTATTTGCATCTATCTATCTATCTATCTATCTATCTATCTATCTATCTATCTATCTATCTATCTGTCTGTCTATCTCATTCTGTTTATATCTATCTATCTATCTATCTATCTATTACAAACTGCTCATTATCTATCTATCTATCTATCTATCTATCTATCTATCTATTACAAACTGCTCATTATCTATCTATCTATCTATCTATCTATCTATCTATCTATCTATCTATTACAAACTGCTCATTATCTATCTATCTATCTATCTATCTATCTATCTATCTATCTATCTATCTATTTCAATCTATGTCAAGCTGTTCATATATCTATCTTGGGCCCGTTCTTCTATCTATCTATCTATCTATCTATCTATCTATCTATCTATCTATCTCAAACCGTTCATTATCTACCTCTCTATCTATCTATCTATCTATCTATCTATCTATCTATCTATCTATCTATCTGTCAGTCTATTTATCTTTCTATTTCAGTCCGTTCATTATCTAACTAGCTAGCTACATAGCTATCTCCGTATTTTCATTATCTATCTATCTATCTATCTATCTATCTATCTATCTATCTATTTCAATCTATCTATGTCAAGCTGTTCATATATCTATCTTAGGCTGTTCTTCTATCTATCTATCTATCTAGCTAGCTATCTATCTATCTATCTAGCTATCTATCTATCTATCTTTCTATTTCAATCTATGTCAAGCCGTTCATATATCTATCTTAATAGATTTCTTCTATCTATCTATCTATCTATCTATCTCAAGCCGTTTATTATCTACCTCTCTATCTATCTATCTATCTATCTATCTATCTATCTATCTATCTATCTATCTATCTATTTATCTTTCTATTTCAGCCCGTTCATTATCTCACTAGCTAGCTACATAGCTATCTCCGTATTTTCATTATCTATCTATCTATCTATCTATCTATCTATCTATCTTGAGCAGTTCATTATCTATCTTATCCCAATTGATACCTCTTTTGCGTCTCTTAATTTCTCTGTCTGTCTCTCTCTCTCTGGCTAAATGCAGATGACTATCGCTACACCTTTTTGAATATAACATCTTACTGACATGCTAATTTACACACGACTATTTACGCCTATATATCCAATCAATAATTTATTTGCTCACTTCTATCTACCGCATTCTCCTCTCTTCCGTTCAGACTATATATATATATATATATATATATAATAAAAACTTAAACACTAATATTAGTGTTTAAGCCTTTTTAATATTATATCCTTACTCTGTCCTGGACATTGAGTTCTACCTAGATTCTATCCTCTTGGAATTTTTTATTCAAAAAATATATATGTATGTGTATGCATGTATGTATATATATTTATATATTTTACATATGTGTGTGTATATGTACCACACTATATATATATATATATATATATATATATATATATATATATATATATATATATATATATATGGTCGTTCATTTTCTATCTATCACATTCAGTCAAATCTATCTATCTATCTATCTATCTATCTATCTATAATATTCAGTCAAAACTATCTATCAAGTTTATCCAATCATCTAACTTGGATGTGCGGGTGGTGCAACGGATTGCTGCTCGGAATGAAAAATTGGAAAGCTGAGTTCAGTTTCCAGTCGTGCTCGTTACATTCAGAGTGGAGGAAACAAAGCACCACAAACACCACTGGGAAAGGCATGAATCCATCTCTTCTACCCACAAAGAGGGGTTAATTAGTAGGACTTGTACCAGGAAAAGTCATTGTTATCTCCCCCACCCCCACCCCCAAAAAAGTGTTAAGGCAATATTAACTAGAAAAAAAAAAAAGAAAAAGAATCATGTCACTCTGACGCGATTCACACAAACTCTCTCTCTCTCTCTTTTTCTCTTTCTCACACACACACACACACACATCAAAGTCATCCTCTTTCTCTCACTTTCCCTCAGTCTCTCTCAGTCCATATATATCTACCTATTCTACTAATCCTTATGGATCATTCGATTAATTCTTATTTCTAGCAATCGATCGCTGTGTCTCAGCAAAATCATTCAGGCTTATTCTCTCTGTCTGACACGCTCAATGACTCTCCCCCCATCTCTGTCTCTTGTGAAGTTGTATAGATAAGAATTAACTGAGATAGATAGATAGATAGATAGATAGATAGATAGATAGATAGATAGATAGATTTGCTTGTGATACATAGATAAATAGATGTATATTTGACTGAATATGATAGATAGATAGATTGATTCATACATACATACATACATACGTACATAATGAACGGCATAGATAATGAATAGATAGATTTGCTTGTGATACATAGATAAATAGATGTATATTTGACTGAATATGATAGATAGATAGATTGATTCATACATACATACATACATACATACGTACATAATGAACGGCTTGAGATAGATAGATAGATAGATAGATAGATAGATAGATAGATAGATAGATAGATAGATTTGCATGATACACATAGATAAATAGATGTATATTTGACTGATATGATAGATAGATGGATTGATTAATACATACATACATATGATACAAGATGAATAGATAGATAGATAGATGAATGAATGAGATGAATGAATAGATAGATAGATAGATAGATAGATAGATTTGCTTGTGATACAAAGATAAATAGATATATAGATAGATTTGACTGAATGTGATAGATAGATAGATGATAGATAGATAGATAGATAGATAGATAGATAGATAGATAGATAGATACATACATGCATACATACATAATGAACGGCTTGAGATAGATAGATAGATAGATAGAAAGAAAGAAAGAAAGAAAGAAAGAAAGAAAGAAAAAGGAAACGAGTAGACTCGGTATCTTTCATCTATTCTCCCCCTCGTTTATATTAAAATGCATTTTATTTTCTTTATTATCCTGTAAACTATTGAACTGCTCGATACAGTTTTATTTTTCCCCTCTCCCGCCTTCAATGGTAACCAGAATTTCTTTCCATTCTCTTCTTCTGTTAAACTTACAACATTCTTACCCAAGTCATTATATGGGCCTATCGAGATTACGCCGAGAATCACTTTACTAACAAATACTTTACTTTGTAACATTTTGGTAGGAAATCCTAACGAAAAAGGTAAGGGTCTTCGTTTATCGTAAGTTAAAGACATTGTCCGGTAAGTTATAACGGAAATTTCTTAGGAAATATGCGTTTCTATTTTTTTAATGGCCCGAAATTGGAAACATTTACTTTAAATACGAGTTTGTTCATATCTATCTCGTAGTCTATTCCTGTTCAGTGTTTGCCCCATCTTCATTATCTATCTATCTATCTATCTATCTATCTATCTATCTATCTATCTATCTATCTATCTATCTATCTCTCTCTCTCTCTATATATATATATATATATATCACATGCACCTATATTTCTACCACATCCAAATCTATCACAGTTCCAATCTATCTATCTCTCTATCTATCTATCTCTATCTCTCTCTCGCTCTCACACACAGTGTAAGAATATATATTTAATATTTATCTATAACATTCAGTCAAATCTATCTATCTCAGTTTAAGTCTATCTATCACAGTTCAAAATCTATCTATATATCACAGATTAAATTTATATATATATATATATATATATATATATATATATATATATATATATACATGTATGTATATATAAATTTATGACCTGACGATTGCATCTAGCATGTAAACAGCCTATCGCCTCTAAGTGTTGACTTCAATGTTCCTTTTAAATTTACACGATCTATCTCTGATATTGAGCACTTTATGCCATAAATATAACAGACCTTAAGGTATATTTCTTCATATATAAATTTATATATCTATTACAGTTTAAGCATATCTCTCTCTTTCCCTCTCTCTTTCTCTCTCTCTCTCTGTCTCTCTGTCTGTCTCTCTCTCTCTGTCTCTCTGTCTCTCTGTCTCTCTCTCTCTCTCTCTCTCTCTCTATATATATATATATATATATAAAACTAATGTTCTACGTACTATCTACCTAGGTTTCACCACACGGGATCATCAGTTCACCCTGATGTTTCCATGTGGTGAAACCTAGGTAGCTAGTATCTGGCTCATAAGGATTTAATGATTTAATTTTGCTCTACGAACTGTATTGAGTACTTTTCTTTTTAACTCATTATTCGCTTCTTTTTTTTTTTCTTGTTTTTTTTTACCTTTGTACCAGAGATTTAAGGTAATCGACGATTTTTTTCGTCCTGTTCGGAAATTTCTGGTGCTTTTTTTATTTTTTTCCATTTCTCATCGAAAGCCAGTTTATTTGAAAATTTGATTTAATACAATATATATATATATATATATATATATATATATATATATATATATATATATATATATATTTGTAGCTGTGTTATTCTCAGGGTCCTCCTAAAGAGCGTAGCATCGCGACACTTCGGATGTATCGTAAACGTTCAATATTTTTTTTGTGCAATATTTACTCCAGATAGCTATTTAAGCATTTTTGTCAAAAATTCAGTTTACTTTGATGTAGGTTAACTTATACAATTTTACTTATATCGATAGGTATATATATACATATATTTATAAATATATATATATGTGTGTGTGTGTGTGTGTGTGTGTGTGTGTGTGTGTGTGTGTGTGTGTGTGTGTGTGTGTGTACTCTTATCATTGTCACAGTTCATTTACATTTCTCTATCTATCTATCTCTCTATTGTGTGTGTGTCTGTATATGTGTGTTTGCGCGTGTGTGTGTGTGTGAGTTTTTCTGAGAGAATGGGGTGGGAGATCGAACTCGATAGATCGATAATTTGATTTATGCAACTTTGACCCTGGTCACTATTAAGATGGGTTTCCTCTTACCAATATCAATCACTGAAAAAAAAAACACGGGTGGTGTTGTATTTGAAGAAGAAAAATAATTGTAAAGTTAATGACAGACAGACACCAGCAAAAATGTTTAGATAGATAGATAGCTATGAACGAAAACAGACAGACACAGATAGATAGATAGATAGATAGATAGATAGATAGATAGATAGATAGATAGATAGATAGATAATGAGCAGTTTGTAATAGATAGATAGATAGATAGATAGATAGATAGATAATGATCAGATTGTAACAGATAGATAGATAGATAGATAGATAGATAGATAGATAGATAGATAGATAGATGATGATATGAACAGGTTGAGATAGATAGATAGATAGATAGATAGATAATGAGCAGTTTGTAATAGATAGATAGATAGATAGATAGATAATGATCAGATTGTAACAGATAGATAGATAGATAGATAGATAGATAGATAGATGGATAGATAATGAGCAGATTGTAATAGATAGATAGATAGATAGATAGATAGATAGATAGATAGATAGATAGATAGATAATGAACAGTTTGTAATAGATAGATAGATAGATAGATAGATAGATAGATAGATAGGAATAGGCCGATTTATATGGAAAAGGGGCGAAATAAAGGACCCTTTTTTATTTCTTTATGATTCTTATAACTATTATTATTATTAAGAGAGAATTATATATTATAATTATTATATTATTATTATTATTATTATTAGAAAGTGTGAATTTAAAAGAGAGACCTAATAGCATAGGACTTAGCAATTTCAATAAAACCCTGCCTCCAATCTAGTAATACACTTTACAAAAGATATCAAGAAACTTTATAAATGATTTCAAGATTGAAAAACAAAATTTAGAAATTTCTGACAGTACCTAATATATTTATATATACTATCGAAGAATTAAGAAGACAGAAGATAACGGTTGACATTGCATTTAATTTTTGAGTGATTAAAGTTGGCTGGAAAGCAAGAAGCCAGTAGAGAGTTCCACAAATAAGAAGTGCGAGAGAAGAAACTGTTAGTATAGAACTTGCGGTTACATCTGGTCATTTCAGTTGTAAAATAATGTGCCCTTGCATCCAATCTAGTACTGCGCTTAAATTCATAAAGCCTGGGTACCAAATTTTTCAACATCTGAAAAATTTATGTTGCGCAGCATTTTCTTGATGTCGGTATTTTCCTGAATTTTCGACTAATCTAGAAGGGAAAGTCAAGGGTATTTTTCCGCGTGCCCACGTCGCTGCCAAATGTGACACAAGGTCTAGACTTAAAGTGGGTTTAACGACAATACCGTGTAAAATATCCCCACGCTCCCTTGGTACTTCCCATTTTGGGGGACGCCTCAGGTACCGGGCCATAAACTCAGCCCACCCTCGTACGAGAGGTACTGCCTGATGTGGGGTTATTAAGCCGAAACTCCAGGGGTTTCAGCTTAATAATTTTTTAAATCTTCCCCGGCATGTTCCAGATAGCGAAAAGTATGTAAAGAAAACTGATCCTTCTGTTATAAAGTGAAAGTAGTTATAATAAAAGACACCAATTTGTTTACATATAGATTTAAAACATGTCTTGCATTAAAGGTTCGTTATCTACAGAACCAACGTCCATTTCAGAGTTCCTTATCACGATATCTTTCTCTTATAAACATGCCGATTTTCTACTACGTCACCGGGAGAGTCTACTACATGATTGCTAAATTCGCCCGTCTCACTGCAATGAGCTTTTCAAGTCATGTAGAATAATGTTACGCATGCAATACATCCACTTTGCATTTTTTCGGGGTGAGGGGAGTGTATTGAGGAATCGGAGACCCGAGTTCGAATTCCAATCGAGTTTGTTATATTCACTTATGTGCAAATACCCTTGGCAAATGTACGAATCCATCTCTCCCCCGTCCAGCTATGGTTTGAATAACAGGAAAGGCTATATATAGCCTTGGTTGGCAACCGTTCTAGAAGAAGAACAATTCTGAATTCCAAAACTCCAACTAATGTGAAGCTGCTTAACTCACAAACACTCAATTGGTCAATTATAGTGAGTACGGCTACACACTTAAAGATATGGTCAGTCAGGGTGGGGTCCCTCAAGGAGTGAGAACGCTTTGATGAGCCTTGATCCCTAGTACTTGATTCAATCCCTATTTGATAGATTTGTTTTTTACGGTTTATCAACCATTTGTGGGTGATTTAGATCCAGTTGGTATTTTCAGAGTGTAAGATTTTCTTTTTTAGATAATAACGATTTTCTGATACTATTTAATCCATAGGTGGGAGGGGGAGAGGAAGCGGTGTATTCCTGCCTTTCCCAAAGGTATTTGTCCATAAGAGAATATAATGAACTCGATTAAAATTAGAACTCGGCTCTCCGATTTCGCAATGCCCAACGTTATCCATCATACCACCCGCACACCCATGCTTACATCACCAAATTCCCAAGCGGTCACCTATCTAGGTACTGACCAGGTTCGACGTTGTTTCAGCGTCGTATGGGTGTAAGTTGGCCGAGGGTTGGGCATAACTCAGAGAATTCTGGCATTTATTTTAATAGGCTTGTTATCTCACTGGGACAGAATACGGTACACGATGGCTTTTCGTTTTATTACGCCGGGCATACTATTGTTTATCCTTTGTTTCTAATAGCGTTTCCTTCCTAAAGGATCTAGATGTGGCTTCATAAATCCGATTTTCGTATTATGACGCCATTATTATCATTATTATTATTATTATTATTATTGTAATATAGTAACAATATCAAGTAGAAGCGTATGAATCTCTATTAGACAATTCAGCTTTAGCGCTGAAAAACGTTATATCTATTGCAAACGAGAAGGAAGATGGGATGTGTTTATTTTATTGACATTATTATTATTATTATTATTATTATTATTATTATTATTATTATTTACACTCATCGCTTGTTTTATATCATTAATAACTAGTTACTCACGCTCGAGATGCGTTCTGGGTATGACGATAAACGGCATCCGCGTCCTGGGTAAGACGATAAACTACGTCCAACAGCAAGGTCTCTGATCAAGAGGTTTTGAGGAGCGTGGAACCACCTCTTAATTGCAGGTGTTCCCAGATTCACCCTGACCCGGGGTGGTAGCACCTGTTAGGGTCGCAGCTATGGGCAAATAGTTGACCCCACAACCTGACTCAAAACACTATAAAAGTGTAAAAATAGATTTTAATACCAGAAATACATTTTTAAAAAAAAAACATAGTATCAGCAATAAATATTTGAAGAAAGAAAATATTACCAGAAATAAAAATCTTGTCAGCATTGAGGTTAATATGCCACAAAACAAACCAAGCTATACATTTTTGAAAAAAAAAAGATTAAAAGATATACATTTCTGAAAAAATTACCAGCTATACATTTTTGAAAAAAAAGGAAATTTTGTCTGCATTAAATAACCCATTGAGGTTGATATGCCGTAAAACAAAACAAACCAAACCCAAAACCAATCACGCTCGAGATAAACTAACAGCAAGTTTCTTGACGCTCCAACCAGCGCACTTTTTTTTAATATTCCCACTGTTTATTATTATTATTATTATTATCATTATTATTATTATTATTATCATTATTATTATTATTATTATTATTATTATTATCATCATTATTTTTATCATTATTATTATTTTTATTTTCTTTGATTTCTGGCGTTTACACATTTCTTTCCGGGTCCCGCCCAGAGACCTAAGGTTAGAAATGGCGTCATGACACTTTCCACTGACAAAAAAAAAAAAAAAAAAGAATTAAATTACATAGATAAAGCCCTTCGTAAGGTGTGGGCTGTACTTGTGAGAACAATTTTCTGTATCTCCTTGAGGCATGGACTTCCAGGAATCCCTTCAATTAGTCTACTGCAATCTTTTCCAACCAGTCCTAGGGCTCCAACTACAACAGGGATTATTATTATTATTATTATCATTATTATTATTATTATCATTATTATTATCATTATTATTATCATTATTATTATTATTATTATTATTATCATTATGACAATTTTGGATAGTCCCGACATTTCCCATGATTTCCAGTTTCTCCAACTATTTTCTCTTGTTCTTTTTGGGACCGTTTCCAACGCTCCGATAATATCTGGTACAACTGCCACTTTCCTTTTTAACAGTGATGGGATTCATGGGTCCAGCAACGGTTCGTATGTACCGTATACTAAAATTACGCAAATTCACAGAACCGGTTCGTAAATTACTTTAGCCTTTATATCCGCCGAAAAGAAATAATTAAGAAAAAAGAAGAGAGAACTGATTCCTCATTTCATAGAGAAAACAATTTGCGATTTAAATTAAGAGAAAACAGACTCCTAAAAATTGAATTCTGTCAATTATTATTATTATTCATTTGTTCATTTATGGTGCAACAGAGCGCTAAGTGGGTGGGTGGGGGGTCTTTGGCTCCCACACCTTTTTCTGAAATTGAGAACTAGTCAGAAGACTGAATGTATCTTCTTGGCCTCAAATTATGATAACGCTGTTGGTCCGAGTGTGTATAAACGATCTAAAATCATAATTAAGATTTATTTCTATAATGAAATTTTCATTTTCCGTTTATTTTTATTTGTTTGCTTGTTTTTTGTTTTGTTTTGGTTTTTTTTTTTTTCTTTGTTTGTTTTTTCGAAACATTAGCTTCTAAAACTTTTATATCAGTTCTATAGGCTGAAAAATAGTTTATAGATCTCATTCCAGAAAATACCTACAGACGAAAACGGAAAAAATCGGTATTGAAAATTAAAACTACAAAAAAATGATTGCAGTAGGCCTATAGATCTATAAAAAAAAATGTTTATTTAAAACGAAAAACTCTGATTACGACCCCCCACATTTCTAACATCTGATTTCGTAGCCGTTTTAGCAATTTCTTCAGTTCTTTTATTAACATCTGATTTAACCTCACTTGACGTCTGATTTTACCCACCAACGCAACATTAAATACATAATCTAACACACACACACACACATACACACACGCATATATATCCACACAGACATATATATATATATATATATATATATATATATATATATATATATATATATATATATATACACATATATATACACATGCATATATATATATATATATATATATATATATATATATATATAATACATATAAGTACAATATATATACGCACACATTATAGGCACAATATATATACACACATATATATATACCTACATATATATATATACTCATATATACACACATATACATTTGCACACATATACACACACATATATATACATATACAGACACATATATATATTTATATATACACACATATATACACACACACATATATATGTATACACACACATATATATACACACATATATATGTACACACACACAAACACACACACACACACACATATATATATATATATATATACACGCACATATATTTATATGGTCTTTTTTTACAATTGATGTTTAACTCAATTATTAACTCATAAAGAAATTAACATTTTTTATTTAAATAGGGATTTATTAGTACACTCAGTCTAATCATTATGGCCTCTGTACGATCGTCGATGTTAAGCAACGTCGAGCCTGGTCAGTACCTAGATGGGTGACCATGTGCTGGA